GTCCCCCTCCCCGGCACCCCGGGGCCGCCCTGCCCGTCCCGCACCACGAGCAGCCGAGCACAAGGGCAGGAGCGGGACCCACCACCGCCTGCGTCTCCCTGGCAGGATCGTGGTGTGCGGCGCCAAGCTGAAGAGAAGCATCGTGCCAAATTCAGCTGCGATCTACAATTTCCAGCACGCTTTCCAGCTGGAGCAGGAGGAGGTGAGCCGGGCTCGCAAACCCGGGGCTCAAACAGGCACCAAAGCGGAGCTGGTTGCGGGACTGCTGACGTCTGTTGGGGGTGAGGCAGCCTGGTGCAGCCACGTACCTACCGGCTCAAAGACGGAGCTGAAGCAGCTCCAGCAGCAGCCTGAGCCGGCTCTGGCCGCGGCACGTGTGCTCCTGCCCAGCGCCTGCCTGCTGGGACGCCAGCACAGGCCCTTGCCCTTGCCTAAGGCACGCACCCCTCCCGGGACACGGCAACCCACAGCCTACCGGGGAGTCGGGGTGACAAGACCCATGGGTGGAAATTGCCTGGAATTGGGGTTATTGCCTGCGATAGACGGCAAGAACACAAGAAGAGATGAGACATGCAGGGTTTTTCGTGGCCTTTCATGGGCAGGCATGGGCAGACTCCACGGCATGGGGCAATGAAAGCCAGTCTTCAACCACCCATAGCTGGCACACAGCTCCCGAGCAAGACACGGGGGTCTTGGAGGGCAGGTGCCCCCCTGCCATTGCCCACCCCAGGCCACAGCTGGGCATCTCTCCACGAGGTGCCAAAACCGAGCCTTGTGTGTTGAACGTCTCGGGGTTGGGGACATCGCGTTCCCCTCCAGCAGGTGGAAGGTTCTGGCAGGGCGATCAGAGCCGCCCTGCCAGCCCCATCGGCACCGCGAGGGGTGAGGGGTTCGCCGAACCCTTGTGTTACACCTGCCCATCTCTCGCCCTCCTCCAGGCCCTGGCAGTCAGCGATCACTACCCGGTCGAGGTGAAGCTGACGGCTTGAGCTCCTCCAGCGGCCACAGACCACGATCCAGCTCCAGCTCCCACCACAAGCCCCCGTGAAGGGGCTCCCTGCAGCCCCATCCAATGAGCCCTGGGCATGGGCTGCTCTGGGTCCCGGTCTGGAGAAGGGTCGCAGCCGGCTGCAGCCCACGTGGCTCATGGTGGAGCCCTCCCAGCCCACCACGAACCAGAGCTCAGGGACAGGCCACCAGCCAGCTGCTCCGTCATTGGAAGCGGTGATCGCAGACAGGCTGGGGAATGAAGCATCCATCTCCTACCTCATCAAAGACTTTATTGACAAATCTCATTTCACAATTACCTGTTGGACAGGAGGGAGGATATCCAAGGACCAGCGGGCTCGGGCCACAGCAGCGTCAAGACCCTCTCCCTGTCCGTTCCTTGGGGGAGCTGAGCATGCAGCTCTCCTCGCTCTCAGGAAAGGCAGCGGTGGTGTCAGGCACTCTATGGGGACTACGGGGAAGGGGCGGTTGGGGCGGCCACGGGAGCAGGCAGCACATCACCAACTGCTGACACTGCAGATGGCTTCACTGTGAAAGTCTACAGCTACTGCAGCGTTTCGAGGGTCACTCAAGCTCCTGGGACCGGGCCCCGGTTGGCTGGCTCCTCAGCTCTTCTTTTTCTTCAGCATCTCCATGTACATGCGAAGTGACTTCTGGATGGACTCTTTTGAGATGAAGCTGATGAAGTTCTGAATGTCTTCCTCCCGGTGAGCTACGAGGCGGTCCAACACCGCCTTCCTCATCATGGACTTGGTGAGCTGACGGGCATGGTCTGCGGAGAGGAGAGCAAGGATGGGGAACACGCACGGTCCTCACCTCCGACCAGCTCTCGGCCACGCCAGCATGTGCAGGTCCCTCCAAGGGGGAGGTACAGCACACCAAAGGGCTCTTTAAACCAGCGGGGAAAGGTGTAAGAAAATCCCACCGGCTGGAAGCTGAACTGGATAAATTCTCATACAATAAATTATGGTCTGTACTGCTCAGTGGGGAAACCCCTGATCTACTGGGACAGATGACAAAAAGTTGTGCACCTCCTTTTCTTTGCACCCTCCAGCCCCCACCCCAATACACCACCACTGGGCTCAGGATGGCTGTAACTGAACAAAATCCTCTGCTATTTGAAACTGCTCTGGCTCTAAGCTCCCTCAACCCAACCCTTTTGACCTCTGACAAGACAGTCTGCTCATGCCAAGCATGCCGTACAAAAGCCAGCGGCACCGTCCCCTTGAGATCATCCCGATGACAGGCTTGGGGCCAGTTCAGTACGGATATGTGGATGCTGCCGGAGCTGACCAAAGCCTCGAGCACACATCTGCTCACACACACACAGAGCCACGTGCAATGATGCGGCTGCACATCTGTTGCATGGATGTTGCATACGTGCTCTCCGTGTGCTGCAACAGCGGCAGCAATATGATGACCAACGTCTCCACACACAGGGAACCCCGAATTGCTCCAGCACCTCTGAGCTACAAACACCCAGAAGACTTCCCCTGGCTCTGGGGAATGATCTGCATGGTGCCTCCTGGAAGTCAGGAGAGAGCACAGCTGAGACATGCTCCCCACTCTTGGGGGCTGAGGTTTCACTCTGACGCCAGGACAGCAGGGGAGAGAGCTCTTTAGGGACCCTTTTCCAAGGCTGGGACACAAAGTGACAGCCCTGGGACCCATCCAGTTCTACCCAGTTTCATTCAGGTTTCTACAAAAAGAGCAGCTGAAGGCTGATACGTAGCTGCACCTCCCTGCAGCGCTCAGGAGGTGGCAAGGGAAGGGGTAGCTCAGATCAAGCCCCAGCCGGTAGAGAGCTGGAGCAGCCCAAACTTGCACGTGACCTCTGCGTTTGGTGTCTGTCCTCACACCCCCATTGCCATCCTCAGCTCAGCAGAGTGACATGAGTTGATCCAGACCACAAAGGTGGACTGGCAGCCACCCAGGCACTCTCGCCCAGCCTGTTCCCTCAACTCCACGGCAGCTTTCCTGGGGTAACACCTCCACTGACAGACACAGAGATTCAGTTCATATCTGGAGGTCAGGCACCTCCGGACTGACTCAGCAGGACTGGCAGGGCAAGCCGAGCTGGAGCCACATGCCCTGCACACCCAGCATGGTGTCCTCCACGCAGGGGCATAGGCAAGCACATCTCTGTTAGTCCAAGGCTGCCTGGACCGCTGTGCTGAGCTTTCCTACCTCCCAGCCGTTCACACCTTCCCTTTAAATGGAAACTGTTACGTCGCTCCCAGGTACCAGCCCCAGTACCTGTCCTTCCCACGCAGATCAGATCCCCCCTTCCTCTGCCAGAGGTGCCACCCTTACCGGGAAGGGCCAGCCACTGTGCCATAACAGCCACAGCCTTCTCCTGGAGCTTCTCCTCTGGCACCAGCTCATCCACAAGGCCAAACTTGTGGGCCTCGGGTGCAGCGTGGAGGGAGCCCAGCTGGAGGGAGCGTTCAGCAATTCGGTGTCCCACAACGTTCACAAACGTGTCCTTAAACCTAGAAGAGATTCGGAGAACAAGCCACAGTACCGCGCCCAGACATCGGAGCTAAGAGCACACTTGGTCCCACAGCCCGGGCACAGGTCTCTGAACAGCAGCTGCGGGCTCAGCCACGCTGTGTAAAGTCAGGCGAGCAGAGCCATTTTCGGTACTGCCCTGACAGAGTTCACCCTCCTCTCCACGAGAGCTGCTCTATCAGCCTCAGTGCACAGGTCCCAGCTGTGCCCACTCGCTGTGACGTGAAAGCTCCTTTCCAACAGTATAGTTACACGTTCTCAGGGCAACCAAGGCTCCATGCCTTAGTATATTAGTGCCCCTACACTTCCAGGGATCTCCACAGCTATGGGATTTTGCAGGTACACAGCCTGTGCCCGCAGAAAAGCATATTCCCAGACTGAGCCTGACCAGGGAGATCTCCCAGCCCTAGTTTCGGAGTTGACTGCAGACTCAGAACTGAGGTCCTCACTGGTGAAGGACATGAGGACATTGTGCAGTCTGAAAGCTTGTCAGATACCTGCAGAATAGGACAAAGAAATGAAGTGCTGTGTCCTGCAGCTGCAACTACCTGATCACTGACACATAAAACATCATCTCAGCAGCCAGCTAAACTGATTAATAAACTCCTTGAAGATTAATTCTTTTTAGAGACCTACACATGACACTACAAGTGGGAGGCACTGCCCTACCAGAAGGGAGCCACAATGCCCAGCTGGGCTTCGTTCAGGCCGATGCTGAATTTGGGGTTTTCCGCCATGATCCTGTAGTCACACGACAAGGCAACGAGACAGCCTCCCGCTGGGCTGGACCCCTGGCAAAGAGAAGGACAGAGCGAGCCTAGGTCAGCCCTCGTGTGCTGGTTACAAACATCCCTGCAGCCCCAGCCTCACTGCATCCTCCAGAGCAGGGAAGACACAAGGGTGACAGAGCTTCCGAGGACAGATGTCCCCCCAAGTCTCTGACCACCTGATCCAAACCAGCCACTAAAGAAGACTTCTGATACCTTTACCAGAGTTTATCCTTTCATTTTCCAATGCTCTTTTTTTTCTTGCATTTTCCAGCCTGGAAATCTAGTTAATTGATCTGTGTTACCCAGGTTGCAAACCCTGCCGCAGAGATTTGCTATGGCATTTTCTTGTAACCCTACAGGAGTTTTTAACCGTACTTGAGTTTGTAACCCTAGATGCCACAGAAACAGTTCTGTCCAGGGGCTGTGTAACACCTTCTGTGTATAAAACTTCCACTTAAGACCGTCTTTGCCACGACTTGGTGCTTGCTTAGCCTTGCACAGGATGCCTGTGGGAAGCTGCTCAGGTGCCTTCAAAGACAGTCTACAGACACAAAACCGTCAGCTGCCTAAGTGGCACTGCACTGAAAAATGAAAACAAGACACCAAGCAGGTGGCAGCACATCTACGGGCACCGAAATTCATGCAGCACTTCCCTGCTGGCCAAGAACCACAGCTGGAAAAGCAAAACTCAGCAAAAAAAGGGCTTATGACAAACCAGACCGTCCTGCATCTGCAGGACAACCAAGGGATCAGGTCC